GCACCAAGGAAGGTTCAGATTAGATATTAGAAACACTTTTTTCATTGCTACAGTGATCAGACATTGGAATAATTTGCTCAGTGAGGTGGTCGAGCCACCGTCTCTGGAAATGTTGAAGGGATGTCTGGATGGGGCGCTCGGGGATGTGGTGTAGGGATGATTATGGTGGTGCTGGGGGAATGGTTGGACTCAGTGATCTTGAAGGTCTCTTCCAACCTTGATTGTTCTGCATTTCAGTGTTTTGCTAGATGAAACGAGAAAGCTGTTGGCAAAGGTGCTGAAAGTGAGACAGATTCCTTCCTGTCTGATAAATTTAAATTCTTTCCTCCTCCCTGCCCCAATCTCCTTGCCCTGCAGTTAGCCCTCCTGTAACAGGAGTGAGATGGCACGATCTCTCTCTCTCCTAGACCACTACATTCTTATGCAGCTGGATAGCCTGTGGATTTGGTCTGGGGTTTTATTTTTTTAATTTCTTTTTTTTATTTTCCACCGCGGGAGGGTTGGAACCAGATGATCTTTTAAGGACCCTTCCAACCCGAGCCCTTCTGTGACTGCCACCCCTCACTTGCTATTCCTAAGTGAATTTCAGGCATTCCATAAGGGTATATTCACAAATAATTTGGAAAGGGTTAATACGTGGCTGGCTGATGGCATCAGGCAATTAGGAGCTTGTTTGTAGGCCCAGTGTGAGCCCCCCACGGTGTCCTTTTCCACGGGCCACGTGAAGCTGGAGCAGCTCCCACGATTTATTTTGGCCTTTGCTCACTGCGCACTCCCAGGACCAGTGCGGACTTCCCTGGCTCTCAGGGGAATGTTAATGCACATCCAGGGAAGCAAGCTGCAGGCTCCTGGGCCTGTTGAGAGCCTGTCAGGCTCTCCTGGTGCTCGGAGAGGCACCGGGATGGCTCCTGGTGGGGTTTATCTGCCTCCCCAGGGCAGGAGGAGGGGCTGTGGGGGGGGTCTAATTAGGGCGAAATGGCCCAGACGGCGCGACTCCATCCCCCAGCCTGGCCCATTACGATGGGCAGATCTCCTTCAGCTGTAAAACCTGTCACTGAGTGAAGCCAGGGCTTTCCAGGGGCTGCCATCTCCCTCTCTGCAGCGACGGGATCTAGACGTAAAACAGCCCCGGCCCCACTCCCACCATCCCCAGCCCTCTCGTGGAGACCGTGGGCTGCCTTGACAAGCCGGCCAGGTTGCCTTACCCAGGGGAAAAATTCACATGCATTGTAGGCAGCTTAACAGCATGAGACAGATTTTGTTTTCCTCTCGAAGGCGGCCAGGCTCCCTGGGCTACAGCTGTCTGCTTGAGACACCTATCCCAGCGCCAGCTCCAGGCCTGATCCCGTGTCCCCTATCAGTAGCCTGACTGCATCAAGAACACTATTGCCTGAGGAAAGGAGGTGGAAATAAACAGTTCTGCTTTCTGGGTTTTTCTTTTCATGAAGCCCATAGCATCCCCTGTCTCACTGCAGGGATTACCCAGGGGCTTTGCATCTCTGAGGTGGGTCTGTACTGAATGAGCACACGGATCCCTTGAGCCTTTCTGGGTGAAATACTGCTGGACAGATAAATTTGCATGTGCCTAGGTACAGTCAAGCCTTAACTGATGCTAAAGGAGAATCCCTAGGGGAAGAAACACCCAGGATCAGACCAGTACGCTTCTGTGACCTGGTGTCACTTACCAACCCGCAAAAATGTATGAACTTATCGTTCGCAGAGTTGACCCGGGGGCACTGGGGAAACGGAGGCACTTCTGTTAATGGAAATACATCCGTGTTGCTTCACATAATGTATGGAAACAGTAAACATAACTGTAGAACTGAGGGGGGGATGGGGGTGGGGGAAGGAAGCAGCCGTGGAAGTGAGAACGCGGCAGTGAGGAGGATGTGTTGAGCTTCCCTGCGGGTTTCCGCCGCGTTCGAAGCCTCTGTGAGTGAAGGGCGGGAACAGAACAGGTTCCTCTGCTCATGCATCATCTGCTGGCTTTCTGAAAACTGCTTTATACCTCCTCAATTTGAGGCTGCAGCCTGTCGTTGCCAACTCCCAGCTAAGTGTTTTGGGTGCTTCATGAATAGCTGTTAAACGACCTTCCCGGCGGGAGATTGCCTTCATGGGTCAGGTCAGTGGTGGGCTTGGCAGTGCTGGGTTAACAGTTGGGCTTGAGGATCTTGGAGAGCTTTTCAACCTAAATGATTCTATTATTCCATATCGTGATTCTAAATGATTATGTGAGGCCGTGGCGCTGGCGAGCTGGAAGACGTGGGGAATACAGCAGACCCAGCTCCATGGCAGGTCCTCAGCATCCAGCAGTGTCAGAGGTGGACCAGGCCAGTTGGGGCAGCCACTGATCTGCACTCATATCCTGAAATGGCAGGAATTACCGAAGTTGCCATTCCCCATCCACTGATCCCTGATGCTGACCTTGGCTTTGGGGCATGACGGGGGAAGCTGTGGAAGGCAGTCTCCGCTATGGCCCTTTGCAGCCAGAAGCCATGAGCAGAAGAAGGTAAACTCAAAAATTAATTACTTTGAAAGGTGATGTTCAGTTTTGCACTGTTACTTTTTTGCCAGGGCTTTCTGGGGTCCACCAGCACCGTGCTTGTCAAGGACTGGCTCTCTGTTGTGCAAGCTGGTTTGGTTATGCCAGCTGTATGATTTGATGACTGCTAATAAGCATAGAATTGCTGAAGTATTCCCCAAAGTCTTTGCTTTGCTGTCAAAATCCTCATCAGCAATTGGATTAGTTGTAGGGAATGAACAATTACTACACAGGGTATTGTATTATGTTAAGACAAATTGATGGGTTTTATTTAATCATATGGTCCCGGTCACATCTTCCTAGTGTTTTTCCTGTGGAGAGAAATGCATCACTGCACCAGTAGGTACAAGCAAAAAAGACTGAAGAATGCTTGATTTAATTAATTAGCGCCTAAAAATGAGTCGAATTAACACTCTGTACCAAAACAAAATGGATTAGGCTTTTGCTCTCAGTTATGTCGGCTGTGCATATCTTCCTGCACACATGCCAGAGATAAAGTTTGCATGGTCTGGACTTTTGGGAAGTGTATGACCAAGTTCCTCTCAAGGACTGTCTCGGCAATGGGAGGAAAAATTCAGATCAAAAGCATGACCAGATAATCTGCCCACCCTGTGCTCTGTGGGTCACCGTGGCTCTGGCATCAAAGGTCCTGCAGACATTTAACTAAATCAGACCAAGGGCTCCCAAGATCCAGCAGAAGGCTGGAAATCTTTGGCTAAGGTCGCACCAGGCATCAGCAGTCTGGAGAGTGGCAGGAGGCGAGAGACAGGCTTTTTCACTGTCACCCTGAGACATTTTTGCCTGAAATATAAGTGGCACGGGTTGGTGTGTTGGGGTGTGTGGAGGGGGCTAACACTTTTACCTGCTCTGGCACCTTGTCTTCAGGCCCTGTGAAGGCCTGGAGGTGTCAAATGGCTCCCCTGTGACCTGCTGCAGCAGTTTTCCTCCGGGAGGACACGAGGCCATTAGAGCTTGAGCTTGTACCAAGCTAACAGCAGTCAGGAGGTGTCTCGCCACGATTCCCTTTAGCAGCAGGCCAGGGCAGCGCAGGATCCCCATTTTGTTGCTCAGCCTTTACCTGTTTGTGGAGAATTTGGGCCAGGCCATCAGCAACAAATATAACCTGCAGGGGAATGGGATACGCAGACAGCTCTTGGGTCTGGGTTTGCGGCTCCATCATTGAGGAACAGTGGGTCTGATCCCACCTCCTCTGGTTTTAATTAATAGGATGGTCAAATCATTCTGTTATCTGTCAGCAGGGGAAATATCACCTTAAGAAGTTCCACTGTGGTTGGCACAGGAATTTGTTCCCCGCTGCCTCTCTCAGAGGTGCACTCCGGAGGATTAGTCTGTATTTAAGAGATGCTGTGTGTAATTATGCACAGTTTTGCAAACCATCCATTTCTGTTAAGTCCTCTCCCGTTATTTCTCTTGCTGGCATCTGGCTTTGCTGTGTGTCTCTCCTGTTTCCACATGGGAGTGAGAAGAAAGCACTCAGGGCTCCCTAGGCTGTTGTGATGGACTGGCCCTGCCTGCCAGGGAGGTGGGAGCAGAAGGGGTCTGGGTGAAGATGGCATGATGTGCATGCCCGTGTCTTGGGATGACAGTGTCTCTTGGTGCTGTCATTCCTGGATATTTTGTACCATTCCCAAAGGTTTAAAAAAGAAGAGGAGTTTTTTAGGAGGATGGGTGGGTGTCCTATCCTGTGAACGATCCCCAGCAGAGAGGCATTTCTAATAGCCTCACTTGAGTCTCATCCTTCACCTCTGCGTTGACTTTTTCCCTGGCTTTAGAGCAAAAAGTTTTGCATGGTGCCTGTAAACGCTCCAGGAATGTAGGAATTAACATGCTGGATTGGAACAAGGGCCCGTCCAAGCGAGGATCTTGAGCAAGGTGCAAGCCAGTGCCAGATGTTTTGCAAAACGCCTCCACCACGGATATCTTTCACACCTCATTTCTTCCTCACTCCCATCAGCTTCATGGCTGGTCTCATAGCAGCCTGTGTTGTGTTTCCAGCAGCTGCTCCGTCCCTGCAAGCAGCTCAGGAGGATGGGCTATTGAAGGGTCTCAGCAAACACACATAGCCTTCATTCCCCCTCTCAGAGGTGGGAGGTGTCTCATTCATGTCCTGCAGTCAGGGAGAGAGAGTGTCTTGGAGCAGAGATTATTTCCTTGCCTATGAGATATTTTTAGAGAGGCAAAGAAGTACCTTGACTTTGCATGGAAAGTCTGCAGTTCAGGGAAAGCTTTGAAAACTCCAGTGAGCTCATATCCCAGTAAAAAAATATTTCAGAAGACAGTTTGGTGTTTTTTCCCTTTTCTAACATGATGAGGCTATGTCACAGAATCATAGAATGGTTTGGGTGGGAAAGGACCTTTAGAGGTCATCTGGTCCAACCCCCCTGCCATGGGTAGTGACGGCTTCCACTAGACCAGGTTGTATTCTCTTCTCTTCCAGGTGCTCCCTTTCAAAGGTCTCAGCATCCCCATGCTACCTCCTGCCGGCATTTCCACCTGGGTCCCCAGCCTCAGCTCTCCGCCGACTTCACCCTGCCTCACGCAGTGCAGCCCCAGCCGGGGCTGACCCCTCACATGGCCCCTGCACACCAGCACAGTGGCCCCCTGCACCAGCCCCTGGCCCCAGTGCCACCCCTGCCCTTCCAGGACGTCGCTGGACCCTCCTTCCTACCTCAGGCGCTACACCAGCAATACCTCCTCCAGCAGCAGCTCCTCGAGGCACAGCACCGCCGGCTCATGCCCCATCCCAGGTAAGGGGGTCTTGCTCTTCTTGAGGGGTGTCGAGGAGCTACAGCAGCCTCCTCTCTTCACCTGCAAGACCCCAGAAGTGCTGGTGGTGTTGGGTTTTCTCCACGAGTTCGTCTGTGCACTCCGGAAAATTCATTCACCAGAAGGGAGGCTGTGGGACAAGCTGCACCTAAAGGGGCACCTTTCCCTTAGGAATTCCCTACTGTGCTTATCTACTGTGTACCTTTCCCATGGGGATCCATGCAGTGCTTATCTAGTGTGTCCCAAGGTCACCTGTCTTGTCAGTCGCAGGAGAATCGTGATGGTGAACCTGTCCTGCATGGCAGAGAGAGGGGTAGACTGTGAGGGCGAGCTACACCCTTGTAGCTGCTGTTTCAAAGCAGTGCAAGAGATTGTATCTACCTGTCTCATTTTTACGCATGAAGATCTTGCTCTCCTAGGTCTAGGTAGGCTTTCCATCTCTATGAGGGAACGATGCCACTGACCTGCAGCGCATTCTGTCACTGAAAGCATCCTGAATTCAGACTGGGTTGACAAATGCAGAGAGACCTACTGTAACTCAGTAGAGGTGGAAATGGATGCCTGGCCTTGTCTTGATTGTGTTTTTTGAGAGAGGAGCGCTTGTTTTGTAAACATATGGAAGCTATTTGTGGGTTGTATCCATGGATCAAGGATCAGAGGATTAATCTTTGCAATAATGCTTCATTTGGAAAGAATGCTACGGATAGAAAACCCTTTCTTTCCATACTCTTTCTGGTTTAAAGTTGTGTGTTCTTCTCATCATTGTTTTGTTTTGCATAGGCTGGATTTTAGGTGGTTTTAATGATTAGATAATAATTGGGTGGCGGGTATGTTCAAGGCTGAGGCACCGATGATACAAGTGTTTATCTCTTAGTCACAAGCTGAATTCAAATAAAAGCACAGAACACAGTTCCGCGCATTTGGTAAATGCTGTCAGTATTACATTTGTAAGTGGGCTGTGAAAAAAAGGCAGGAACCTCTTGGCCAGGCCCAGAGCTTGTCTCTGAAAGCACAGCAGCAGAGGAGGAGGGTGTCAGAACCCTTACAGGTGTGGGGCAGGAGGTCAAAGTAATGGCAGTGTGGCTCGTGCCTTTGAAGTGAGGTCTCTGAACTGTGGCTGCATGAAAAGTTATTTAGCTTGCAGTTCCCTGTTCCATTTGCTCTGGTGTTTTTCTGAAGGTTTGCTTTGTGATGGCTCCTCTGGTAAGCGGGGACTCAGCAGGGAGTGAAGGTGATGAGTCTGTCTGTAATGTAAATCCTGATTGTGCATCCACGTTGTCTCTTGCCAACTGGGGACATTGATCAGGCAGCACATCCTCTTCCCCTGAGTGGTTCAACTAAACAATAACCACAAGACTCAAATCCCTAGGAAAACTCTGCTGTATTTTCTACCACTTTCTTTTCCCTGCCTGCAATGGCAGCAGGGCTGAGGGAGAAGGAGCTGGATCCCAGCCTGGCCTGTCCATCAGCCAGAGGAATGTTGGCAAAGGCCAGCGAGAGTAAATTCTGCTTTCAGTCACTCCTGAGTAATCCAGTTATGAATGAGGTTCCCCAGGAGTTTATGGACTGCATGGGGAGACGAGACAACCTGCAGCTTCTTTATGATGATGGATCACGGCTGAAGCAGGGACACATTTTATCTTGTGTGTTGTTTATGGGGCTGACTGTGGAGAGAAAGAAAATAGTGCAAACAGCATGAAGCTGCCGAGGAAGGTGTTTTGATTTCCTCTTTTTCTCTCCATGTTGCCACCAAATAGCATCTCCTGTAAACTGAGCACATGTGGGGTGGCAAAGGGCTTGAGAGTCGATGTCCATGGCGACCATGAGGAAATGACGTAGCCCTGGGTCCCTCTTCCCAACCGCTTATCCCTGACACCTTTTTTCTCTTGGACACATATTCACACTGGGGTTTTCCCATGGCTTATTGACATGAGATTGGAGCACGAGCTGCACATCCCAGTGCCACCTGTGCCTGACTCTGCTGTGCTGTTCCCTCTGCTGCAGGCGGGCTCAAGAGCGCATGTCTGTCCAGCCTCACCGCCTACACCCCAGCTTCGACTTCAGCCACCAACTGCAGACTCCACAACCCATGGGGCCCCAGCCCAGGTATTTAGCAGAAGGCACGGACTGGTAAGTGATCCACCTTTCACTAGTGTGTTGAGTGAGGTGTTGGAAAAGTCCCAGGAAGGCTGCGAGGGTTGGGGAGTGTCATCAGGGATCAACACTTCCACGGAAGCCAATGGGGCAGCTCAACAGTTACAGTGTGGGGGATGTGCAGTGGGGAAACACACCTCTGAGAGGGCCATGAGTGTGTGCTAAAGCCTCCAGGCATATCTATAGAGTTACAGAATCATTTGGGATGGAAAAACCCTCTAAGATCATCAAGTCCAACAATTCCCCAGCACTGCCAAGCTGAGCAGTGACCCATGTCCCCACGTGCCACATCTACATGGCTTCCAAATCCCTACAGAGATGGCCACACCACCGCTACCCTGGGCAGTCTCTACCAGAACTTGGTGGCTCTTTGAGTGAGGGAATTGCTCCTAATATCCAGTCTAAACATTTCCTGACACAATTTGAAATAATTTCCTCTTGTCCTGTCCCTTGTTCCCTGGGAGCAGAACCTGACTCCCACTTTGCTCCCCTCTCCTGTAAGAGAGTTGCAGACCCAGAAGGTCCCCCCTGAGCCTCCTTTTCTCCAGGTTGAACCCCCCCAGCTCCCTCAGCCACTCCTGGTGCTCCAGACCCTTCCCCTGCTCTGTTCCCTTCCCTGAACATGCCCCACTGTTATTGCCCATAACTTTTCACCTACAGATGTAGAGTGCAGCCAACTATAAGTCTTCCCCAGTGGCTCTTCCTGCTGCAGGGTCTTTTTTCTATAGACCAGTCACTCTACCTTCTTCTAGACCTTCTGCTGTCCTTCAGGCACCCAAGAAACAGTGGCCATAATTTCTTCAGTGGTCTCAATTAGGGACCGCTACGCTGCTCTGCCATGCAGAGTGGTATGAATCAAGATGTGTTATTCATTCTGCCACTGTAGTGTTTAATACCCCGGCAAAGCTTTGCAGGGAATTGATAATTTCATTTTCAGAGCAGGTTTTGAGCTCTTGAACATTTCATAAGGTATGGTGCCCTACTTGATAGAATAAGAAAATAAAAACATACTTCTGAGTAGCTGCCTGTAAACTGAGCAAAGTCCATTCTGTGCACTGAATGGAAAAAATAACATGTGAACTTGTAATTAGAGACAATCGCAATGTATATGTGCGAGGGGACCAAAATAAAATGGGATAGGAAATCTTAATGATGGCATCTCCTAACATCTGAATGCTTCACTCCACAAATGAATAGCCCTTTTAACACAGGGTGAGGTTTTTTTCCCTCTTCAGTGCAATAATAGGCAGCCTAAAATATGGCCATGTCCTTCTGCCATTTTCTTCTCAGGTGTTCCCATTACTGGCATCCCCGTGGGCTGAATGTGGTCAGGATGACATGGTTCTGATCAGTTTGCAAAGCAGCTCATGTACTATCTGGATAGAGCCATTCTTTCTGCCTCTCTCTCAGTGCAGAGTGTTTAATTATAATCATTAGAAGAGTCTGATAAAGCATCACTTTGTGTTCCCTCCTCCCCCCTCCTTTTCCGTGCTGTGTTGCTCCATAACCTTATAAAACCTAAGGAGTGGGGATAACAGAAGTCATACACTGTGTGTGTATGTTTGGGTGACTCATTTTTCCTTGGGGCACACGTACAGTTTTTGCCCAGTGAGAGAGATAAATAAAAACTTTCCTCTAATGTGTTACCCCTGGATGAGCAGCAGCGGCGTTTTCTCAGAAGCAGTTTGTGGTGGGCAATGCCATGGGAAGTGGGGATAGAAGGGGGATCTGAAGTGGATCAGTCATCCCAGAGAGCCCAACCTCAATTAAAATCTCCCGGTGAAGAATAAATAAACTACCATTTGGTTCCATAAATCATCTCCTGCACACGCACGTAGTGACGACCATCCAGCCTGTTATCTGGAGCCTTATCCAACACTTTTGGTTGCTGGCAACCCGTGTGCCATAAGCACCACAGCTCTTGAACCTCTCATCTGGGCATCAAGGTGCTGTACAGTCATCCCTGTAGCACAGGCTAGAAAGCAATAGTTATTTCTGATTTTCTTTAGCTAGTGCACTCTGCTTGGCCACCCCCAAACCCCGGGAAAACACAGTGCCATGCAGCATTCTGCTTTGGGCCCACCTGCAGACCCACACCATCACTTCGGGAACCTCATCATCTGATTTTAAGTCTCTAGGTGCACAAACAGTTCGGCAGTACTGTTGTTGCAACTACTTGTGCGAGTTAATAATGGCCACTCACCTCTGAGAGACCTCTTCAGCCCTTGGTCTCAAAGCACTCCATGGAATACCACATCTGTTTTGTAGAGAGCGAATAAGGGAAGGCAGAGAGGAAGCGGTCAAGGTCATGCATCAGGAAAGTGACAGGGCTAGGAATGGAACCAAAGCCTCCCGATTTCCAGTTTAGCTTTCTATCCACCTGGGACCACTCCTTAAACAATTGGATAAATACCCAAAATTGTGACACAGGAGCTGGAAACTGCCCAGTGCTGTGAATTCTCATGACTGGTGGTGTTCTGCCAGTTGCCTGCTGTGTTTTACCCCCTTCCAGGTTTTGCCTCTCTAGCACAGGGCCAGTAAAGATAGTCCCTCTCCTGGCCTCCAGTTAGAATCACAGAACCACACAATGGTCTGAGCTGGAAGGGACCCACAAGGATCATCAAGTCCACCTTGGTGCAGGGTGCCTTACTATGGGATTCTAGAGCCCCGGTGCTGCTGCCTGGTGCACAGGCTGTTACGGATGAAGGATTTCTACATTTACTGTCCCTTTATGTCCTGTGCCTTCTTTGAAGCAGTTTCACAGCTGCTGGAGGACACGTCTGGGTGGCTTCTAACAAGCCGTGGTGTGCGCTGCTGCCGCCCTCCACGCAGGGGAGGAGAAGTTCGAGGCTGAGACAGGGAAGCCACCCCTGTTGCTCTAATTAGCTCTGCTCTGGCAAATGTGAAGAGAATGGTTATTAGAGCTCCGGATTTTGTAATTATGATAAAGCGAGTGATGTTCAAAGCGCTCGTTTTGCTGAGAGACTCTTTGGCTGGAGAGAACAGGGATCAGCTAATTGGATTATAGATGGAGATGCTGCGTTGGGTCTCCTCCCATTCCCTCCACACGGTGTGGCGATGGGGCTGCAGTTTATCTCTCTGTGATGGATTGGGCGGAGCTGTGAGGTTGGATGGGATCTTGGTCATGCCAGGTCCTGGGATTGAGCTGGGCTGTTCTTCTGGATAAAAGTGCCCAGACTCACCAAGTTGAGCTCCACCTCTGCTGGCCTGGGCCAGGCTGCGTGCAGGCCAGTGGGGCCATCAGGGGTGTCCTACTCCATTGCTGTTGGCCTGCTAGTTGTGTGACACACTTTCCTACAGCAGTCTCACCCAGACATTTCTTAAAACCTTTATATTTTCTGCACAAATCGCAGTTCTGTAGTTCACAGAAGTGCAGAATCACAGAATGGTCTGGGTCGGAAGGGACTTCAAAGATCACCCGGTTCCACCCCCAGGCCCTGGTCAGGAACCCCTTCTACTATCCCAGGTTGCTCCAAGGCCCATCTAGCTTTGAAACTTCCAGGGATGGGGCAGCCACAGCTTCTCTGGGCATCCTGTGCCAGGGCCTCACCACCCTCACAACTCACACCCTCACCTCCCTGAGTCTGGATTCAGTTGAGGTGCAGGTCTCCTTTAACTCCCCAAGTCCTACCACAGCCTGGGCTGGGAGACCTCCAAGGAGAGCACAGGCACACCAAAAAGCTCCCAGGCAGCACCTAGCTGTCTCCTAACAACCACCCAGAATGGTTCGTTGGTGTGTCCCTTGACTAATTACCTATATTCCTGCAAAATATTCAAGGCATATGGTAATAGTGGCAGCACGGGTAGGACCAGGTTGAGTTACTGAGCCTGGGCATCATTTTGAGCCACCAAAATGCTCTTGCTATGAAATTAGCAGGGCTGCATCTGCTCAGCCCTCGACCCCAACCAACGCAAACGCTGACTGGCACAAAACCAACCCCTCGCTCCTCTGTGCTGGCCTGGTGGGTGATTGCCCAAATTAGAGAAAACTCCCTTCCCAGGAGCATCTCCCCAGGCTGAGGAACCCCACAGCAGCCCAGAGCGCACCGGGGAGGTTGCCCTGTGAGCGTGGTCTGTGGTCCATGAAGAAATCCACGGCGTTCAAAGCCACATTTCCATCCTCATGCCCACAGGGACCTCAGTGTCGACGCGGGACTGACTCATGCCCAGTTCCAGGTCCGGCCCGTCCCTCAGCCATATCAGCATTACTTGGCCACGCCTCGGATGCACCACTTCCCCAGAAGCACATCCTCAACGCAGATGGTAAGCGAAACGCTCTCACTGAGAAATGTTTCATGCATTGTCTGCCAGAAGGCAGTCAAAATAAAGGCTGCTATCTTTCTATCACCTGTCTTCTGCGAATCCCACTTATCTCCGGCCGTGGGAGGGAGTGTCTGAAAGGATAATGTTGCATCACTGCGCTGGATTAGAGAAAGAGAAGGGAAAGCTCAGATGTTCTGGAAGGATTCTGTCCATCGTGTGCAGCGCCAGGGCTCACAAGCTGGTCTGCAAAACCCGGGCAGGATGTGAGAGACTCAGCAGTTATTACTAATAATATTATTAATACTGGAACAAACTGTGGGCTCCCAGAACTTTTTTTTTTATGTGGAAGGATGGCAGTGGGCAGTGGGTGACTCCTTTCCCTGGGCTCAGCCCTGAAGATCATCCCTCACACTGTTGTTGCTCTCTACACAGCTTTGATGCCACGTGTAAAGGTTTTGCGTGGCCACCTGCACAGGTGGGGGTGGGTTTGATAAGCAAACGGGCATTTGCTACCCACTCTCCTAGCAGGGTGCTGTGTTTGGAGCTGAGCCATGCCAAGCACTGCTAATCCTTTAAGCATCCTCAGGAAACCCAAGAGGGTGTATTTTCCTCATGTGCTGTAGTCAGATCCCCTCACCTGTGTACCACAGTAAGTCTTCAAAGAAAAAAAAAAATCAAGGCTTGGATGAAGAAAAATCCATCCATTTCAATAAAATAAATTTTTTTTTAAAGCTAATCCATGTTGAGAGTTTGGAACTGCAACATTATGGATGCTACAGGACCTATTGTAACAGTTAGTTTATTCAGAAGAAACGCATGTTATCAGATAATTCATAGGAGATCTATTTAATAAAACCTCATTTTTTGTTTATTGAAAGGCTTCCATCAGTGAAGGTGTCAATCTGCTCTTTCAGTTTGCATTGTTAAAGCACTAGATTTACATCAGGGCACACGAGGGTTTTCTGTGGGTAGGCACAGGTAGCTTTATCTCTCTCCCTCACTCCTTGCAGGTTGTTCATGAAATCAGAAATTACCCTTACCCTCAGCTTCAGTTGCTTGCTCTTCAGGGACTGAACCCAAGCAGGCACACATCTGCTGTGCGGGAGAGCTACGAAGTAAGTATATCCTGGGGACTGGAATTATTAATTTTGGAAGTGCTGGGAATCTATGCAAGCTCTGGTATAAACTTGTAACACTGTTTTTTGGCATGGAGATTACATTGAGTCATTCAGCAATTTTAGTAATGACTGGGAGGCAAAGGGGTTGAGTGGGTTTGGTAAAAGATAGTTTACTCCAAAGTGCCTGAGTCTGGCTTGAGTTGACTCTGTCTCCTTTCATGTCTGTAAACAAAGTGCTCCAGTTCTAAGGGGTTTTGTTTCCCTAGCTTGTCAGATGGAGCTCAGATTGCACCCTAATTTGTGAAATACTGGATATCCAGCTCTGTGCCTCGAGCCCTTAGTTATTAACCCAGAGTGCCAGGGTTAATAAACCCAGATCCATCATGAAAGCATGACTGGTGTGGGTTTGATGGGCATTTCCACCGAGGAAGGGGCAGGAGGGAGCCTTGGTCACCAGCGGGTAGGGTTGTGTGGTGGGACCTTGTGCCTCGGGATCAATGAGGATGGCGTTTCCTGATGTTCCTGTGCCGCAGGAGCTGCTGCAGCTGGAGGACAGGCTGGGCAGTGTGAGCCGGGGTGCTGTCCAGAACACCATTGAGAGATTCACCTTCCCCCACAAGTACAAGAAGGTAAGTGCCCCGAAACCACGGCACAGCTGCCAGCCCCTCCCAGCTGGCTGAGGGCTGCGGGCGTGAAGGAGCGGACAGAAGGAAGGACTTTGGTGGGTCACAGTCCTCAGGGTTGGAGAGCTGGAACCACCACCCAAAACACCCCCCAGAGCAGGGGAGGAAAGCAGAACCCAGAAGCGGTGCTTCGGTGTCTTGCGGGGGCTCCCGGGGCCGAAGCGGTGGCGTAGCTCAGCTGGCTGTTTCTCACTTCTAGGCTAGGAAGCTGCGGGCCAAATTTTCAAAGGGGTCTCAGCCTTCTCCCACCCAGCGGGTGCAATTCCCCCCCTGTCCGCACCTGGTAAGAAAGTGCACACCTCCAAGGGGGCTTGGTGCATGCAAACCCACCCTGTTCTGCATGCAAGCGGCCCCGACGTGAGTGAGGGCGGCGGCTCCGTGGCGTGGGGGACCTTGTCCTCCCCTCCCTCCGCAAGGGGGGTCTCCTCTGTCGGAGCTGATCTCTTCCCTGGAAGGAAAATGGGTGGCACATCTTCGAGTTGTGCCGAGTGGAGAACGGGAAAAGTGCTTGTTTGGGTAGCAGTTTTGCTACTCACCTCTGACTGCATCTCCAGTGGATCCAGAAAAAACGGTATTAATAGGAGAACAGAGAAGAGGGGAGCGCTGACAGGCTAAGCACTGCCCTGTGGTGCAGCACGGGGCTGGGCTGGTGGCCAGGCTGGCATGGGGTACAGTGGTTGCCCTTCCTGGTAGTGGTGGCCCCACACGTTTTGGGGTCTCTGGGAGAAGCTTCCAGCAAAGGAGACCATGGGGCCATCCCCACTGCAAGGAAGTGGCTGTATTAGGGCAGGAAAGGGCAGGTTGCTCCTTGGGGCACTAGCACCAGCCACTGGCCCCAGGAGGAGACATGCCAGCCAGCAGCATGTTGGTGGTACCCTCATCTCACTGGCTGTTTTGGCTTGGCTGGCATCCCTAGGCTGGAGGATCTGACTGATAGAAAAAGCTCTTATTATTTACCTTCCTGCAACTGTCCAGGCTTGGGGGACCATTAAAAAGTCAAGGCTTAACCAAATGATGTCTTTAACCTTGCTGCAGAGAAGACCACAGGAAGGCAAAGCTGAGCAAGACGACGGAGAGGAGTCAGACACTGATGAGAAATGCACAATCTGTCTGTCCATGCTCGAAGACGGAGAAGACGTCAGGTATGATCCTCCCATCTGCTCTTCTGCCTCTCCATGCCATCTGAGCTGTGCTTATTTGGATCAATGCCACCGTGCCCTTGTGGGATTGTCCCTGTTCTTGGTCCTGATAAACCCACTTGGGTTGTTGCAGAGTCTGGAAAACCAAATGCTGCTTAGATGGGCACCGGTGTGGGCTGTAAGTAGGAAGAGCTCTGCAATAGCAGGAAGGACAAGTTTTTATAGTGTCTCCTGGGTTTGGATCACCTGCTTCTAGGCTGTGCCAATAGGCCAGGTGGCAAACTGTTGAAGAGGGGTGGGTCCCAGATCTCTGGCAGCCATCTGGAGCTTGCAGTCATCAACATCTGAGCTTGACAGATGACCAAAGCATGATAAAAGGCGGTGTGAGTATGAAGTCCAGGAGATTCGGGCTTGTGTCCAGGACAGAGCTGCTTTATTGTAGAATAAGTAAGATTACTCTGCCCACGTGGTCACAAGGAACCTTCCTGAGCCAACAGCAGAATCCCAGTTATCCATAACAGACATCCTAGCCTGTTTTCTAGGTCAGATCTCTGATTGTGACAGAGAGTGGGGACAAGAAATTGCAAGGGACTAAACTACCGTGGCTGAAGGAACTGCAGATGACAGGTGCCTGGTCCTGTTTCTCACCCTTTAATTGCCTTAAACACTCAAGGAAAGCTCTGATCCTCTTGCTGTGGGTTCTTGTGCCCTCTGTATCACAAGGGAAGATGATGGCAAAGGTGATGTAGGTAAAAAGCACCCACATTCCCTGAGGGCACACCAGACACCAGGCAGGAGCAGTGGGGACCCACCTAACTGCCAGTGACTCACAGTGATGGAGAACCAAGAGGGTTTGGAGTATAACCTTATTCCTGAAAGATTAAAAAGCAGCAACCAGGGCCACTAATAGCTGGAGCAACTCAGTTCAGGGTGGTGTGGGAGTTTCTAATAGGCCAAGAAGGGCAGCATCTCCACCTTACTTCCCTGTGTGAGCTGGTGTGGCTGGGAGAGCCTGCAGGACCTTGGCAACACTGGTGTCACCTCTCCAGTGCTTCCCCACATGTTTTGCTTTTCTTCTCAGCCCCTTGGGCCTCCTCCATCCTGACAGGGTGGTATTTTTCTGTTCCCTGCAGGCGGTTGCCCTGTATGCATCTCTTCCACCAAGTGTGCGTGGACCAGTGGCTGGCCACCAGCAAGAAGTGCCCGATCTGCAGGGTGGACATTGAAACACAGCTCGGCTCGGACAGCTGAAAGGACTGGCTGGACACACCATTTTCCTTACCAGGTCGTATGGCCATAAACCCTTGCAGCAAAATTTTTTGCCTTCTGAGCCATTTGATTGAGAGGGGAAGTCTGCAGGCACGTTAGTGAGGAGGAGGAGGTGGTGGTACAATATCTAGCAGTAGGAGATATTGCACATACGCAGGATACAGGCCCAGTGAGAGGGAGCTGGCATTCCCGGAGCTCAGAGACCCCGTGCTGCAGAAGATTTAGTGTTGAACATGAAGGAACTAGTTGTGGTAGCCTGGCCTGTCAATCCTGCACTTCATGGGGATTGTATATATACCTCTTGAATATGTAGAAACATGTTAGGGGTCCTTTAGCTATTTCTATGGATGGCAGCTGGAGCATGTTAGCTTAAGAAATGTTGTGTTTGATGCCCTACTCATCTTGTGGTGGACATGTTGCTGTTACCTATTTTGCACCAAATATTTTTTCATAGATTCCTTATTTTGGTGCCTGATTAATACATTGCAGAGGGGGGAATAAAGAGGTCAAACTTTCCCACCCTTGGGGTGGGGAAAGAGGAGAAAAAGCAAAATCCTGTTTACAGTCAGAAGGGTTTGCGCTCTTTGCCTCAGCCGCGTGTGCTTCTTTCCCTTGCATTTACAGTGTGTTGCAAATTTAGAGAAGCTTAAAAAAATAAAAATTGGGGATAAAACGAGCGAAGCAATAGGGAGAAGCTTCGTTCCTGCTTGTCTGCTGGTGCTGGACACTTTCTGTAGGGGCATAATATTGGACTAGATGCTGTTTCTTTGCTTTCTGTATCTTTAACAAAGTAGCTTTTCATATCAAAATCCAAGGAAGATCTGTCTATTTGATTGCCATTGTCTGTGATGCTTTCTCCTGTGAGCTGTGTGACTGGTTGGCCTCACCAGCACTGCTCCAAAATGATGGTTACTGGAGTGGGTGCCTACAGCTGTGCCTCGGGGTATAATAACACCAGAGAGGTGCCGAGAGGTGCAAAACGTCGACTCTTCTCCTGCGCAAAAGCATCTCTGATAACAGGACAGAAGAAAACTCGATGCTCACAAAGCACTGCTGAGGCCATGAGCACATGGGCGTGGGAGGGGGAGGGAGGCTGGAAGTGGGGTTGCTGCTTTTTTGGAGGTTTTGCTGCTGGGTTGTGACCTGCCTCAAAGAACACGTACCTGCACCCATGTGAGCTTGTGTACATGTTTCAGGCCATATCCACACGGAGTAATCAGTGGTTGTTAAAACACAGCTTAATCACATTAACACTCAAAACAGGATTAAGAGGTAATACCCGAAGGAGTGAGCTGTTGTGATCCATGCTCCCCCTGGAAAAAAAAAAACACCTCAGCACGCCAACCACAGGGACCGAGTGGAAAACCCTCTGGAAAAAAAAATGACATTCGCAACCAAAACATTCCTTTTCTTTCCTTTTTTTTTTTTTTTTTTTCTTTATTTAAATTTCATACTAGGGGAGTGAAAGAGCTGCAGAGGAGCAGCAGGGGAATTAGTCAGGAACATTATGTATTGAAAATTCTGATGTGGTGGGAACGATTTCTGGCTCCCCTGAGCATCCGTTTTGCTGGAGCCAAGTGATGCTCTCCAAGTAGAATCAATCATGAACTGCTATCTGAGAAATCAGAAGATTCCCAAGAGCTGTAATTGGAAAACACCAACCTCAGAGGCACCACAGAGATATTTTTTTTTTTTCTTTTTCCCAAGGGAAGAGGGGAAAGAAAGGGGGAATCCCCATGGACGTGAAGGTGCAAGAGCTTCTCTCTTCGTGTGTCCATGTAGGTAGGATGGAGGGGAGTGGGACAGTTGATGGGATATAGGGAAAACATAAGGAAAAAATTCTTGGCTGTGATGAGAAACTGGCACAGGCTGCCCAGAGAAGCTGTGGCTGCCCCATCCCTGGAAACATTCAAGGTCACACTGGACAGTGCTCTGAGCACCCTGGAAGGTGTCCCTGCCCACATCTGGGAGTTGGAACTTGATGACCTTTTCAGGTTCCTTCCAACCCAAACTATTCCATGATTTTATGATGTATTTGACACCCAGCACAAGCAACAGCTTCTTGCGGGATGTGGTGGTCCCAACCCTGATGTCCATTGGTCAAGGAGTGGTCCATCCTTGGGGCCGGCTCCAGCAGCAGCAGATTGAAGCAGCATTACAAATAATACTAATATTACTATTTTATACAAGGCTTTGCTGGTAAAATACACTGTAAGGAGGTCTGGTCTGTCCAGGCATGAGCTGGGGGTGAAACTGGAGAGGAACAGAGTGATAGGGACCCTGGCTGGGTGGGGAGGGCATGAGGGGCGCTCCTGAACAGCGTGTTTTCTTAAAGCCTGTGGGAAAGTGTTACTATTTGCCTAATAAACAAGCACAGTTTTTAAAAAAAAAAATCAATCATACTAAAAAAGAAAAAAAAAAAAACACACAAACAAAAAAGAACCAAACCCTTTGGTGAAGAAAAGCACCAAACTCCCATGGTCTAGTGTGAGTGACTGATCCCAAGGTGTGTGCGAATTTACAGCATCTGGAGTTGTATTGGTGTGTCAGGTTCCTTTGCATTTAAATAATTTGTACGAGTAGGTTGCGATAATAGGGTGAGTTAAAAAAAAAACCAACAAAATGAAACAACAACAATGACAAAAAAATCTCTAGAAAAAAAAACATCGATAGTTTACAGGGTTTTGTGAGTTTAAATGCCTTATATTTAACAATCATAATTTATGACTAACTTGTAGATATTGTGGGTTCTTATTTAATTATTTTTATAGTTGTTTTTTTGCATTTTTAATTATAATTTATTTATTTAGAAATTACTACTAATTTTTTTTATTACTCCTATTACCTCATTTTTGCATTGTTTCTGGGAATGGAATGCTTTGCATGCATCGGTACTTAAAAAAAAAAATAAACAGGGGATGTGGGGGTAATGCTTATCTTGTCAAAAAGAAAAAAAAAAAAGAGAAAAAAATCAGGGTGTGTGATTACAAACTGTATTACTGTGGTGCTGTTACCTTGGATACATTCCATAAAAATGCAAACCTTTGATTCTGTATGCTGTGACATAGTGGAAAACTGCAATATAGTGACTGTGTTTAGCACATATATATGAATATTATTTGCACTCATAATCAAACTCTGGTGATCCTTTCGCTTGCGTCCTCGTGCATTGAAGGCGGTTAGCGACGCTCTGCCAAACCGAGACGATTTTTTGGGTTGGTTCCTGGCCCCCGCCCTGTCCCCGCCGCCGCTGGCGATGCTGCTGCTCTGTGCTGCATGTGCGACCCTGCAATGACACCCAGCAGGCCCCCGCTGCAAGGCTGTGCTTTGGGGCAATGCACTGCACCCTTTAGTGCGAGACCCTGCACGCTGCTTCAAAAGCCGAGGAAGGAGGCCCAGGTATGGTGGTGGCGGCTTTGCCCAGGTTTTGGTGGCTTGGTTTGTCTCTCTTCACCCTCTTTGCGTGCACCCAGCCGGGGAGAAGGAGGCAAGAGGGTGAGCCTGGGCTTGCAGGCAGCAAAACTGAGGAACTCGTTGCAGTTTTTTAGGGGCTGACGTTCTGTGCTCAGAGGCTGGTAAGGCACTGGCACAGGTTGCCCAGAGAAGTTACGGATGGCCCATCCCTGGAAGTTTCAAGGCCAGGTTGGAGGGGGCTCAGAGCAACCTGGGCTGGTGGAAGGTGTCCCTGTCCATGGCAGGGGGTTGGAACTAGATGAGCTTTAAGGTTCTTTCCAGACCAAACCATTCTGGGATTCTGTGATGCCATGCCTAGCTGGGAATGGGGTGGGATGGACACAGGGTCGATCTGGCATCCCTTTGCCGTGCCTGTCATGAGCATTTGCTATAACCGAGCTCTGAGGCGTGCATGGAGCAGAAGCCTCTGACTGATTCTCTCGGTCAGTTGTTTTCCTCCTTTCTGTAAAGAGGGAAACCTCCATTTCGAGCTTTTTAGTCCACTGTAGAGCTGGAACCTGCACCAGAGAAGGGAGCCAACCCCAAACTGACATGGCCAAGCATCCCCATCCTGCCATGGCCACGCCGCTCTCACAGTGCTCTGCCCTTTCCCAAAGGCTCCTGAGTATCAAGTGTTCCAGCTTTGCCAGAAGGTGAGAGTACCTTCGAAAACGTTTTAAGCTTTAAGCCATAACCACGCCTCGTCAGTGTGTCAGCCGTGTATGGTCAGAAGTGAGGTTTGACGCATGTGCTCAGCCAGTAGCCACACCTCCCCACCCCAAAAGGCTTTGGATGCAATTCTGTTTTGGGTTAGAAAGGCACAAAATCACTGTACCTTAATTTTTTTCTCTCTGTCCCTTCAGGGTGCTGCTCTGCTTTGTTGACTTTGCCTTACCCCAGGTTTTAAACTTGTCTGTGTTCTTTACCTTGCTGCTCTGTAACACTCCTCCCCTGTAGCCTGGAGCTGTGATTCTGAGCTGTTTGGGGACAGGGCGGTTGGTTGTCGTCCCCCCCAAAGTCACTGTAAAAGGGATAAGTAAAACGAAGAGCAAACAAAACCCCTCTCCTTTAATGGCCTGGGCAGGTGAAAGGATCACCCACATTTTTGTATTCCTACTGCTGTTCTGTTGTGCTGTGCAACATTTTGCTACATAGACTATTTTATAGAAGAAAGCTAGAAAAATATTTATTATTAATATTAAAGCAATAGTGCATTGAAGAAATGGAAAGACATTAGAAATTGTGTAAATGCTTAGATTCACTTTTGGTGGATTTTTTGTACTTTATTTATAACTAATAAAACAAACTGCATTGCTAACTATAAACCTGTGCCACGTAGAAGTCACCTGGCAGGGCTTGGTCTTTATTTACTGCTCGTATCTGGTTTCTTTGGGTCGGAGTAAATTCTCCTTTCACTGCTTATGCCTTTGGACTTTGATGTGCAAAAAACCCACTGCTGGGGTATAAAATACTCTGCCCATCTGTTTTGCAGAGGCTGCTGGTGGTTGAGCTCCATGGTAGGGGTGAAGTGAGGCTCTCTACACTGGGCACACCACCATGCATGATGTCCTGTGGCGCCAGTTTAGTGATCAGGTGCCAAAATCACTTTCCAGAATTTCTAAAAAAGGCCTATTAAAGAGAGATTTCTCCTTTAAACACATCCCACTGTGCCTGTAGGATATCTCTAGCAAGTCCTGCAGAGGTATTGAAAGGTTCTCCATCCTCTTGGTGGAGAAACATCTCCTTCTGTGTGGGTCTCCTGTTTAACAACTAAGGAAACTAATTGGAAGAAAAAAAAAAAATCCAAACTAATACCAATACATGTGAGGGTATTTTCAATCCTTTTGTTACCTGTTGGAGAATCCATTAAGTCATACACGCAGTTTTACTTCCTGCATAGTTAATTTCATAGGTCCTCCTGTGCTTTTATTCTCTCCCACTACGAACGGTGCCAGTCTCTGCTCCTGCCCACTCTTGATTCAGCTGTTCCTCCTGAAAAGCTGAAACCAGTCCCCAGTTTTTACTGTGTCATTAGACTAAACGAGCCTTGGAGACAGGTGGCTGCTGATCACAGGGATTTGGTTCCTGCAGCCGAAGGGGATTGCCTGCTCCTCTGGCATCCAGCAAAGGCTGCATAAGTGATGAACTGTGTTCAGGCAACACAAACCTCTAGTTACAGGAAGGTTTCAGAAATTCAGAAAATGGAAAACAGGTTAAAAATGACCTGCTGGTCCAGCTGGGGGGGAATATCCCACTTTCTCACCGAGATCTTGCCGATGTCCTTCGGAAGGGTGACGGCGCCGAGAGCGTTGCCGGAGGTGGCAATTGGTTTTGTTTCAAAACTGGAGCAGCAAACACGTCACTACGATCTGATAACAGCCCTGCTGAGCACAGTGAGCAGCTGCCAGTGTCTGTGCTGGGGAGGCAGAGGAGCTGTGCCTATCAAGGTGTAACAGCACGGACCAAGATGCGACGTCTTTATTCACTGCAAGCATCTGCTCTCGCAGCAGCTGCCCAGGGTTGGGAAGCTTGGCCCTTATTTGTGTTTTTGTAGTATCTAAATCTGCAGCTGGCTCACAGGTTGCAGCTCAGAGCTGTACAACTCCATTAATAAATATATTTATTCTTGTTGGGGGTTTTTTTTCTCCTTTTTTTTTTTTTTTTTTTTTTTTTTTTTTTTTTTTTTTTTTTTTTTTTTTTTTTTTTTTTTTTTTTTTTTTTTTTTAGCTCTTTTCAATTTTAAAATGGACCTCTACATGAAAGGATGGGGCACGGAAGATTATAAGATATTCTCTAAATACAGAATATAAGGTACTTCACATCCCTCGGTCATTCTGTCTTCTTCAGTGTAAGGCTGGTGTAGGTATATGATGCTATAAAAAAAACCTTTGCAACAATTTCATAGAGTTTTGAAAATAATTCTCTGTGTCCTGCAGCAAGAGGCAACTAATCCTTCAGCATGCAACACTGCAAAGGGCTCTCTGTTTATACTTGTTTTCAGTGGCAGCACCCAAACACTTAGAAAAAATAAATTTAGTAGACATAGCACTTCATCAGATTCCCGAAATGGTGGAGGACACAGAGACAATGGGACAGCCTGGTTTTGAAGACTCACTCTGATGGCCACCATCCTTGTTCTTTGCTCTTGCTTCCCATCTACAATAATGTTTTTTGGATGAAGGTTTGTGCATTAAAGCCCTACAAATTAGGAAATAAAGAGGAAAAAGGTAGAGGTTGGCGGTGGGAGCAGGAACTGTGCATCTTCCCAGCATATCAGTTTTGGGATGCTCTGCCTGAGCTCTGCAAGAGGCACAAGACTTGGAAAACTCTGGCTTTTCTCCTCCCTAGTTCTGCACTGGGCCAAGAATGTGTT